GTTTTTTTGTTTTTTTCACTAACCATGCAGGTTCATCCCATCCCTTTAGACCCTGATGAGTTTGAGGTGCCCAAGGTCAATGTGCAGAGAATCCTGAGCCCCTCAACCCTTTGAGGATGAGCCCAGGGAGATGCCCTGATGTGCATCTGGCCATGCAACCCCTGAGAGGTGCTGTGCTAGACTGTCACTAAGGGCTCAGCATCTTGCAAGGTACAGCTGTAAAGTTTTTTTGTCTAAATTTGCGCAGCACAGAGCATTTCTTAGTTCCAAGGCAAACCCTAGTAAAAAGCAAACTCCCACCCAAACATCTTCAAAGTATCCCCTGACCTTGGTGAGACCTACAAATCTTGAGATCAACTCTACTCCAACTCTGATCCACTTCAGACCAGCTTTTGTATTGGTGTTATTCCACAATACCAGCTGAAAATGGCATAGCCTGTATTAAAGGACTCTTTATCTAGATGTTTTCTCTAACATGCACACTTCAACTTCCCCAACCTTTCCCCAAATTATTTCAAACAAACCTCATCTGCTCATCTGATTTCTCTAGCCTCCATAGGAAATAATTTAAATACGACCATATCAGCCCCAGAGACTTTGGTCACTGGTATTCCTACCTGTATACACTTTCTTTACAACATATTATTGACAGAAAAGTGGCTAAGTTCAGTCACTTCAGTTCTATTAATTTAAGTCCATGAACGTGAAATTATTTCAGCTTTTAGACCTTAATTGTGTTTGCTCATGGGACTTGCCCTTTGCTAATCTAGCAACTCACAGGCTTGTGCCACATTGATAAGGAGATTTGTTTCAATATTGTAAAGTTAAGTTTATTTTCAAGAAGGTTATTGAATATGTGGCCACTCACTGAAAATATTTACACTGTTGTTACCATAAATTACTAGTTTTGGTTAATGATCGGTCTACTTACACTTTCAGTGTCACCTTTCTGTGCTACAGGAAATCAACTGTTGTCTTTCAGTCACAAATACTATATTACTGTCCATGACACAGCCCTGTTAAATTCTCCCATATACTTTTAATAGAACCTTCTCTGCTGTATTCATTCACTTTGTGAGATTAAAATACCTTCAGAGAAAATATCATCAAAAGCTTTAGTAGATTCTTGCTAGACAGCAAGGAAAAAAAAAATCAAAAAAAGTGGATCGAGCTGATAAATAGGAGTATTGTATGAGCATTTTTTACTATGAATTTGTGGACTGTGGGACTTCAAGTAAGCTTTACATGGCAAGAAAAGACAAATATTCTTGCAGAGGCAGTATAAAATGAAATATCAAAAGAGCAAAGACATTCAACTGAACTGCTGGTACTCAAAAATGCTACAATATATGGCATCTGTGTTCAGTTAAGTCCTTTAGCAAACAGCCATGTGAATGAAGTCACACAGAGGGCTTCTTTCTTTGCCAGCCCAGGTACATATATCATTCTGTTACTGTCCTATTTGTGGAAATATCAGCTATGCAGAGATTCCATGAGAGGATCAGCTTCATAAACTCTATCTGTAGTTCTTATTTCATGGCTGTGCAGCTCTGCTTTTTGTGAAGCCAATCCATACATCTCCCATAAATGAAAAGGTCATGATTTTTTTAAAGGGAGAACAAGGCACAGGGAAGAATTTTTAAAAACTATATGTTTCATCATATTGACAGAAGCCACAGAAGACCCTGAGGGGAAAAAAGCAATTTCATAAAGGTGAGATGCTTCACATTGACCTTTTTGAAAGGAGAAGTTTCAGGTCTGTATGACAAAATGAAATTTTGGCCAGGTTTACTTTATAGAACTTTATATGTGCTCAAAGGAAAGCATGTGGATTTCACACAGAACTAATTTGGAAAAAAAATCCAGCTAAAAGGAAAAATCTGTGTTTGTTTAATTTGTTTTGCTATTTAAAATCAAATTCATTAAAACCTCCCAAAAAGTAAAATCTTGTCTCTAGTCTGCAAGGGAGGGAGTGAAGAAAAATGTGAAATTGGAACTGCCAAATGCAATCTTTTCTAATAAAAAAAAAAAAAATTTGCTTCCCTCATATTGCAGGAAGCAGTGGTTTCCTCACACACGTGTGAATGCAGCACCTGCATGTTCTTGTCTGCATGAGGTGTCTCTCTAATCTCCTGATATGCCAGGAGGCACATGGGGCACCCCATTAGCCTTGCAGTGATCTACAGACAAGTGAAATGATATCAGTTGTCAGTGAATGTCACCCAGGGGCCTCTTCTGACCATGCAGCTGTGACATGTGCCCAATTAGAATTGCCTCCTGCCAGAATTCCCCCTTCTTAGCACAGGAATGGAATTTCAAATACAGGCTATATTGCAGAAGTCCAATCACAAATAGTGTGACTGTCAAAATAGATGGAAAAAAATATATAATAATTTACTGATAATGCAACCCTGATATTGCAAGAGTAACAAGGAGAAGGTGCCTCACCACTGATGGTTGAACACAGACCAAAGGCAAGGAGCACCACAAAATAACCAGAGAAAAGTGTCCTGCCTTTGCTGGCATCGTGGTGGTCATTTCTCTTCCCATCCCTCTGGGGAAGACGACCACTGCCTTTGCCTTTTACCATCTCCAGCTCTGGATCTCCTCTCCTGCTCTGGAAACATGGCATACTCTCGTGTTTGAGACTCCCCTTGTCACTTTTCAGTGTCCATCCAGTCAAACCTGGAGCGAGTGACTCCTAGCCCTGTCCCCCAGGAAGAGTAGCTCTCAACTGTCTCTCTCCTCCACAAAATTCAAATTGGTATTTGATTATGGCCCTGTTCCAAACTTAACAGCATCCTGTCCCCAAGCTCTTGGATGCCTCTAAGCCCTAAGGGGGGCAACCCTAATATGACAGGTTTGGAAAAGATGGTTTGTACATAGATGTTTTCATTGATTCGTAAACACAAGTCAACAGTTAAGAAAAAACACTGAGTAAAACTATACCTCAAACATTCTTAAAGCTCCAAAGGGGAAGATATTTGAAAACAACATTGGTAATATCTGCTATAGAAGCAGACATTTCTGTAAAAACCCTAAAAGCCTGAACCATAAGGAACACTGTAAACAGTATGCTTCAGGCAGTCAGGAATGACTGCAAACAAATGAGGGAAAATTTTAAAAACTGACTAAACAAAAGAAGACTAAAGCGCCATAGACTGACAAACCTGAATATCAAACAACCAGCAGACTTGCAACAGAATCTTATTAATGTCAGAATCACTACATTTGTGTCTGGTTTATGTTTTTTTCTCTGACATTTCAAAGAAGCTTTTTTTTAATGTATTTGAACTAGGATCTATAAAATGAAAAATGGTCAGATGAGACTAATCTTTGAATTCTGTCATATTCAGTACCCCTGATGTTCATGATACAGAGGAGGCACACCGGGCTTTTAAATGTAGAATTCTGAAACTGTATAAAATACTGTGATTATATATGCAGCATATTGATTACAATAATCTGGAGATTTCAGCCCAGCTCTAAAACCATGCTAACACTGGCCTAATAAAAATTCATAAATAAAGGATTACTTAAAATAAGGCAAGGGCAGCAGTAGCACCCTGTCCATTTCACTGGTGTCAGTGACCAAAGGGATTGATTCACAGATCGTAGGCTTTTGAGTGACCAATAAAATTTCCAGAAAATAACTAAAATGCCTCTGAAGTGCTCCTGTATGATCATCAGGAGGAAATCTTGCAATGCCTACTGCAGAGTCAGTTTTGCAGAGATCAGAATAGGTGTTTTCCTATTAATTATTTATTGACAGTGCTATTTCAGAATAAACATTGACTTTTCAGCTGAGTCTTCTACCACCTGTGTCAGCTCATGTAGGTGAGCTCTGGCAGGATGAAAGCTGCCTCACTGCAGCAGGTCTCAGACTGGGACTTCTCAGTGGCTCTAGCTTGTTTACCAGAGTGCTAGTTTATAGTGTGCCTGAGGATTTAGGGACTATGCCTCTGAGAGGCAGAGAAAGCACCTTGGGAAAGGGATCTTCGGAATCTTTCCTAAAGTGAACTGTCAGAATTGGCCTGGAGGCTTTCAGGATTGACACTTAGTGGGTTAAACTTTTTTTCCAAGAAAAATGTTAGAGTTATACCAAAGCAAGGAATGCCAAGTCCCTGATTTCAGGATTTTTTTTATCTAGGCTACTATCTCCTAACCTGTGGCTATAACAACCTGTCATTTCATGAGGTCTTCAGCTAGCCCAGAGATTGCCCCAGAAGCTCTGCTCAGTGGCAGCTGCATCAGTGCACAGGCTCTCCCCTCCATATGGACTGGCCAGAGGGGTCACAGCATGACAGGGTGCCCAGCTCTTGTATGGCCTCCCTGGAGAAAAGAAGCAATGTACAGGAATCTCTTGGGAAAGCTCAGTGCACCATGATACCCTGAAGAGCCAGGTCTGAGTGGCCCAAAGTGGCCATGTTTTAGCTCCAGATTTACTGAATGACTTTGCAGAGCACATTTTCTAAACAGAAGCCAGAGGACAGAAATTCTCTGAACTGTAGCATCCCTGATTTAAGGTCTCGAGTTACTCAGTGAATTAATTAATAAGGCAAAACCCTTGCAGTACATCCCATGAACTCTCACCACATTACTGTTTGCTTCCTGACCATCTGGATCCACTGCAGATATCACCCTGCGTCCTGTTCCAGAGCCCAGGCTCAGCTTGGTGTGGGATTCCCCATCCCACCTCCCTGGGTCCTTCAAGTGCTGCATGGCTGGACTCTGCTACGGATCCCCAAAAACAATTCTATAGAAATAACCTAAACCCTTGACCTGGTAGCCTTGAAATCACTTGGTTACTTGTGTGAAGCTTTTCCAGCATAACAGATAGAATAATGCCTCAAAATCCTTATTTCTGATTTTATCAACATGCAATACAGATCAGAGTCAATAAAAGCTTAGTGCATTTGCCCGGACTCTTTAAATCTTTGTCTATGTCTGTGCTTCTTCTGATGAAAGCCCCTTATGACTGGGACCTAGTGGATATTATTAGTATGCTCGCCTTGGCACACTGAAATTTGTTATTTTGGCAGATCTTTCTTGGCCTGATTCCAGCCTATGTGCCTTATGTCAATAAACCACCTGGGTTTCATCTTTTTGCACCTGGTTCAGTCCATCTATGTTTATTGTGATGTGCCCCCCGCCCCCCAATACCTTGTTTTCTCTGTATACAGGGCAATGTCTTATAGAACTCAAGTAATCTGATCCAAACCTTTTACAGCAAGAGTGGACTGCCAGTTCCTTCCACAGGACAAGTCCCACAGCAGGTCCCCAGGAGCAGGTGAGCTGGGAGGAGGACCCATGTTCACACTGCCTTCCCATAGTGTTGCTTCAGCCATGCAGGCAGCTGTGGCTCACATGAAACACTTGAAGGCTTTAAGTTCTAAAAAGGCAGATGGATTCAAAAATCCATAAAGGGCTGTCACAACACCCACAAGAGAAACTGGGCTCCCATTGAGAATTGTGAGGGCCTGAATGGGTCTGTGTTTTGGCCCTTGGCTTTCCCATGGCAGAAGTGACTTTGAGCACTGTCATTTCTGAGTCCCTGATGTACCTTCCTGGTGAGTAAATACTTTCTGCCACTGTGAGTTTTTCCATTTATTAATATCACTTATCATTTTCTCTTCTTCCTTTGCTAATTGTTGGCCTACAGGGGCAGAGATCTGTTCTTATAGATCTGTTCTTATAAATCTGTGCTTATAAACAACCTCGCTGCCCTGGTAGTGTGCATGCTGCCAGCCTGCAGGCAGGTTTGGCACTATCTGATTGGGCTAAGACAGCTCTGAGGGCTCAATTATCCAAATCACATGCTCCTATGGTGAACCCCAGGATGAGCTTTAGCCAAGAGTGGTTTTCCCATCTGATTGCCAATGTGGCTCTTCCAAGTGCCATAAGCCCTCGGGCTGCTGTTCAGCTGTATGAGCTCCATCTGATGTGGCTCCTGCTATGAAAAGACTGTTTTTTAAACTGCTTAGAAAGGCTCACAATCCAAACAGGGTGCCCAAAATAATGGAAGTGGTTTAGCTGTCCTCTAGCATTTGCTGGCATCTCTGTGAGATGTCCCTCTTCTCTACATCACTGTAACTTCCTTCACGAGCTGTGGCCTCACCATTTGCCATTATTTTGTGCACACAGGCTCCAAATACATCTGTGCCCTTGTCCATTATTCACTCAATACCCTTTGACTGAAATCACCTTTCAACTCAGAGACTGTGTCTGACTTTCCTCTGTCAGATATGCCGCTCTCTACTGAAGGCATCAGCTATGCAAAGAATATCCTGGAGAGTATATTAGCATTTCTGCAGCAGATTGGTTGGGGGGGTTGGGGGATAGCCCTTGGGTTTTACACAGAAAACCATCTATTTAATAGACAGGTGAATTTTACTAAAATAAGTGTGAGAATGCAATTGTAACCTGGAGGAAGGCCTGTAATCTGGAGTAAACCACTGTGTGAATCTGTTTATAAATTTGCAAGTGCAACGTGGGGGATTCATTTTATTGTTTATATTTTCATTTTATTTACTTATCTGCCAGTTGGGAGACAAAGGAGAACAGGTGACTGTGGCTGTTTATGAAGAAGCCCTTCTTTTGAAAGATGTCAGAGAAGACAGACAAAAGCAAGCAAGTCTTGCAAAACAGCTTCTTAAATAACATTGTTAAGGAAAATACAGCTGAAGGTTGATTTCCCTGATGGATGCATAGCTTCAGAGAAGTTTATTTCATTACTCATCCTTCCCCTGTCACTTTGCCAGTGGCAAGGATGAAGACTCTCTAATAGAGGTTTCTGCTCAGATAGTGTTTATCTGGGCACTCCAAGGGTAGTGAGGTGTGCCCAGGGCAGTGGTGCTGAGGACAAATGACACAGCTTTAAAATAAAATAAAAGCTATTCTTGACACCTGTGGGGAGGGGAAAAACCAACTGTCTAGATAAATGCATCTTCAGTTTAACAGCACAGGGAACACTTGTTCAGCGTTGGATCTGAGCTGCATCTGAGCACTGAGGAAGCACAAGGATGGCCACTGGCAGTGAAGCCCTCCTCAGCTGCTCTGGCAAATCAGTTACACTCATACAAAATCAGAGAAATGCCCTGGATAATCAGAGCTTTTTTTTAGGAAAAGCAACTGTATGAAGTCTGTAAGTACCAAACAGGTTCAAAAGCCCTTGTGTTTTGCCAGAAACAATCTCAGTGATTTGTCACTCAGTGTCAATAACATTCAGAATATTATTAAGAATAAACAGCAAGGAACTAAAAAGCAATGTCTGATCTTGGATGACAAAAAATTAAAGAAAATAGTTGAAGTACCCAGTCTGTTGATGGATCAGTGATTTTCTGGATTGAGATAAATCCAATGATCCTGAAGGACTGAAACAGACTTGTTTAGTATTTTGTGTCATACCGTAGGCTGTTCTATGGGTAAACTCATATGTTTATCTCAGGAAAGTTGCCAGAAGTCACTGAGTATTCTCACAAGTATTCTTGTGTATGTGTATAACTTGCATGCAAATCAGCCTTCCCAGCAAAGTATAAATCTGCAGACGTTGTTTAATTATGCAAGTGATTGTATCTGTAAGAGCATATCTGTGAGAACACTCAGCTCAACACACTCAATATTTGATATTCCTTCTCTGTACCCAGAGCCAAATGACAAATGTATTTAGATTCTCAGCTAGGTAATCATTGCAGCTTTGTGCCATCTTTGTTTCTGGCTCTTTAAGATCTTGACATTTTATTTTGATTGTAATGATGATCCAGCTACAACCTTTCTTTTCATATTAAACACTTTCAAAATGGTTTTGTTGAAGCAGACATTTAATTGTACAATTTTGAAACCTCTTCAAGATATCTGAAGCCATATATTCCAGTCAAATTATTAAATAATAGCAAGTAAAAGAAGAATTAAACTTCTCAGCTCTACTCTTCAAATCTGCCTGCTGTAGTACAGCATGTAGTCACAGGAATTAGATACTGCCTTTATAATAGATTCTTCACCACTATAAAATTAAGTCACAATACACTTTAGATTAGTCTGATGCTTAGAACATCTTAGTCTTATCCTCTATGTTTTTTTTAGTGCCTTATGAGGGATTCAGTATATTACTGAGGGAAAGAAAGAAACATGGGAACTTTCATTTACTGTTAACTAGAAAAGACTTGTGAATTTTAGGCTATAAAAATATTCTTTATGCTTCATGCAAAAGCTCAAACAATTTAGATAAATTATTACTTAAGTAAAATTTAATCTTTCAAATTTCTTCTAAGTGACAGGAAAAGGTGAATCTTTATTTCATTTTTGTTTGCTGATTATCACCCTTGCATTTAAAATGTATAGTTTTACATTTAAGCTGAAGACCTAGAGGCTTTTAATAATTTCCTGTTCTACTGCATGGAGTAAACAAGAAATAACATGAATGAAATTAGGTCAATTTCCATGTCTTCATTGTTTCAGATGACGGAAAACTGTCCTTTGATGAATTCAAAGCTTACTTTGCTGACGGAGTTCTGAGTGGAGAAGAACTGCATGAACTTTTTTGCACCATCAATACACACAATACTGAGTAAGTGCCCCCTTCTTACAATTCCAGTGCCACTTTCTGTACCTGCAAATGGAAAACAGACCTCAGGCTGATTTTAGGAAACAAGCTTATGTAGAAAGCTGCTTGAAGGAAGCCAGGCTGTGACATATGGCTATAAACCGTCTAAGTGAAGTGTTTTGAAAACTTGTTGAAATAGTTGCATATTTCAATAAATGTGATTTGGGTACTGAGAGCACAGCGTGGAAATTGGATGCTTTCTGCATTCTCCCACCATGGAAAGAAAACGAGCTGTGGCCTCCTTCAGGTTTAAACGTGAATTCCTCAAGTCTCAATTCCACTGAATCATACTGAGATGAATACTTGGAGCAGATGTTGAGAAAGGAATAAAATTAATGAAGAAATTTTATATAGTAAAGAATTGAAAAAGCCATTTTGTCTGGTGGCATGGTACCTGTGCTGTTGTGGTCCTTTGGGATATTCCCATTATGGTTGGATTTAACAAGGCCACAGGGAAATAAGCTGACAGGAGCTTCATGAAGTTCAAGAAGAAGTGCAAAGTCCTGCTTCTGGGGAGAAACAAGCCCCAACTTTCATGGGAAATGAAATCAAATTAAATGTAGTAGAATTCACAGGATTTTAGAATTTGTGCCAAAATAATGTTCTGAAGTAAGCAGAAGAAATTGTACTTGATCTGTTGCACTTGTGGGGAATAAAAAATGCTACAGGATTTATAAGGTGATTAAGGGATGGGGTGATGGAGACAGGGAGGGGGAGTCACAACCCTGGAGGTATTTCGGGGATTCGGCAGTGCTGGGTTAACAGCTGGACTCAATGGCTTTAGAGGTCTGTTCTAACCCAAACAATTCTATGATTCTGTGGTTCTATGCACCAATATATGCTGGGGCCCACTCAGCTAGAAAGCAGCTTGGCAGAAAAGGATATTGGGTAAACACCAAGTTGAACAGGAGCTAAGAATGTGCCCCTATGGCCAAGGAGGTCAATGAATGATCCAGTCAAAACCTCATTTCAGAGCCAGACTCATTCACACAGCTTTGGACTTCCTCATATGTACTACATACCTGTGTAAGTGATTTAATTTTACCGTAATTCCATTTGTCTGCAAGCCATAAAGGCAGAAATTCTTGATACTAAGCAAGATTTCTAAGAAAAAATACATGTTCTACATCTATTTCTCCTTGCTTTTTATTTGTAAAGATCTTTTAATTCATGAAATACCATTATTATTTTTATTTTTATTACACCAGTTTCTCTTTAACAGAGAATATATAAATCTGAAAAATATGTAGAAAAGTGAGGATAACATTATTTCCTGGTAGATAGGCACACCTGAAGAATTGGTGCAATTGTTGAATGCTGCTGCTATTAACTTGTCATATTAAATTGTCACAGCAGCCATCTGAGAGAGAGATCATTCTCACTATCCAGAAAAACTCTTACAAAAATGTTGGCACAAAAGTCACAGAATACATGCTGTGAAGAGTTCAGTTTTCATGTATTTCAGGGAACGGAGCAAGTGGAAGATTAACACAAGCTACTAAATTACCTTTTCGAACCAGAAGAAAGGGTGCTCTGTATTGATGGATTAGCATTTGTTACAGGAGGAGGAGAACCTAGATATGGGTAAGAAAACATACTTGAAATTTGGATTTAAAACAGCAACAAGAAGCTTTTTGAGTGTTTTTTCATGGAGTCTAACTAATAAAAGGCTCATTGCACACTTTGAAAAGTATTATACCAGGCTTGATACAGAACAGAGGCAAATACATTTTAAAAGCTTTCCCCTACACTTTTGTAAGCTTTTGAGAAATCAGTCAGCAAGATGTCACAGGCCAAATATCAGATGGGTGTAGCAAAGAGAGACAACTTGGCCAGTATAATATAATTTCCTTGTTAACATAGCTTTCAAAGAAAAAAAAAATCACATGGAGCAGATATAGTGAGGCAAAATCTTTAGTCACTGGAATTTCCTGAAAAGGGCAAGTTATGGTAAAATGTCTCAAATTAACAAGCTAGCTAAGAAAACTAGCAAAATGTTCACTGAACCTTGGGAAGTGTTTTAATGTAAGCATTAAGAGAATAATGTACATATCAAACAATCCCCAAACCATTTATTTTAAGATAGAATTTTCCACTTCCAAATTATCTAAGGGAATGAAATGGAAATGATGCAACTCAGAAGTATTTTATGTCTGGTTTTAGTAGGAGAGGATGCGGACAAAGAATTCTGCTCATTTTTGTAGCTAGTGGGAGGAGATTGGCACAGATTATTTTGTCTCTCTTATCCATTTAAAATGGAGACACTGTCAAACTCTGGGCAAATATTTTATCTTCTCTCTGCTTCATTTCACTCTTTACAAGTTGCAGACTGTAGCTCGCTGTCCCAGAAATACTTTTTAAGTTTTGTGATTATGCAGTGGTTTACACTACATGTAAATGCCTAGGATAGATGTCTAGGGAAGCATGTCATGATCCCTTAGTTAATTTCTTGGAGTCTCTCAAGACTTCATAACCATCTTGTCACAAGAATAGACTTTGGGTTGTTTCCACCTGCATTAAATCCTCTAGCTTTGCCATCATTCAAAACCTCACTGTCTATGTGCACAAGTCTTTGTACTTTAAAGCCTGAAGATGAAAAAGCAGATGTGGCCTTGGGGTGATAGCCATGGACCACAAACTCAGGCAATTTGAATTCCCTTCTCAGCTATGCTGCAGCAATTTTCCAATAAAAGATTCAAAGCATGAAAGACTTACACTGGCTTAACACTTCTAAGGGAACTAAATTAAGCAGGTATTAAACCCCACTATTACACAGGCCCTGATGTTGGTCTAGTTGAAGTGAGATTTAGATTATTAACTTTTAAAAAGACCGATCCAAGCTAATGCAACATGCTTGTCACAAAGCAGATAGGCTGTGGAAGACTGCTGAAATGAGTAATTACCATTTCCAATGTGATAGCAGGGAAAATAACAGAGGGTTTAACTTCCCTGTAATTCAGGTTGTGTCTGCCTGACTGACTAGGATCTCTGCACCTTGGTATTTGAAGCAGTTAGGTGTTCTCTTTTTACAGAGTAAAAGAAGAGTCAATTAGTGCCAAATCAGCAGGAAAAACACAGATGAGTAAGAATTAGTTACTGCTGCATCAAGTTTCCAAGACATAGGTTGAATAGGAGTTTATTATGACAGGATGAATTTAAATGTATGGGTTTTTTTAGACCCTAAAGTACAGGTTATCCATTCAGGGCAGATCATTGCTTTTACTGAAAATTTCCATTAGCTGAGGTTATTTCCTCAGTACATAATTTGGACATATATTTTGCAGTTTATGGAGGTACTTCCATGCATAGTATTTTTCTTTCTATTTAAAAATCTCTACCTTATTTTTTTCTGACATTTGAAATATTAAGTAAATACCATTAAAGACACAGTGTAAAAATTGATTGCCTAAATTTTTAGCTTATTTTCTCCTGGATACAGCCAGAACAAATGCATAAAACAACCAGATTAGGTGAAGTAACGTATCCATGCAAAAAGGAATTTATTTTTCCATCTTTTAGTATTGCTATGATATTTTACCTTTCTTGAAGGTAATTAGTGATTAGTGATTTACCTCTCTTGGAGGTGATTAGGCCATATAGTGAGCATTCCTGACATGTAATTAGTACAAGGTGACCGCTTTAGGGGAGTAGCAGTTAACCATGTAAGTGCAGTTTCCAGTATTGTCATTACTTCAGAGTAAAGCTGAAAGCAAATTAGGCATTTGACTGCCACTGAGAGTCACTTCTTTTTGTGCTTCCCAGGATCTCCTGAAACCTTTGGGCAATCACATACCATTAAATGGTATAAAGAAACATCTGTGGAGAGTCCATACTCAGGTGCCCTCACACTGCCAGTGGAGGAAAGGCTTTCCATTGATGCAGAAGTGATCAGGTCTAGGCTGTTATAGCCTCATCTCCAGGACTCGTTTCCTAGCATGCATTTTATTCTGCTGCAAAGTAGTGTCTTGTATTTAAAGACATGTAAAAAAAACCCAACTGAGCAAATACAGGCAGGAAATCAAGAGCAGTGACTTAAGCTTTAGCCTGGAGTATGTACAGTGATTCTCCTCCCCTTTCTTATAATTGTTTTGCAGGTAGCCCCAGTATAAACACACTCTAAGCATCTGGGCAACATCTTAGGCTCTTTTTAAGTTATCAGGAGGTCAAGGTAGATCCCCACAGTTTCTTGAGTAGGAGCCAAGCCCCCAGAGTAAGAGTTAGACCAACATGAGTTCATGTCTGTGAGCAGGGAAGGGGCAAGGAGAAGAGCTTATCTCTCTGTCCCAATTTGACATATATTTGACATGACATCCATGTTACACATCTGTAATGTCCATTTAGATCTGGTCAATGCTTGTCCTAACACTTCAAAAAATATCAATGCACTCTATTTGAAATCTGAGTTATCCTTTGTGAAGTTTTGTGAGGGTGAAGGAAAACTGGTATGGTTCCTCACCCCTCTCTCCTCCCCCTGTCTGAGCTCCAAGTTCCACAGTGCTCAGTGAGGCTCTGCAGGGCTGATGGGGGCAATGGGAAGGGTGTTGGAGTAAATGGGAGTGCTGCAAAGTCACCAGAAAACTTTCTTTGGGCTGACAAGGAGGGTCATGGAGAACATGGCCTGCAGATTGTAGTAATTTTGGAGCTGAAGTAATTTCGGAACTGAAGATGCACATACTCTGCTGGTTATTACTGAATGCAAAACATCCTTCATGTAAAACAGTGGTGAAGCACAGCTGAGGAAGCTCTGCAGACATACAGCTGTTATGTTTATGTGTTGTATGAATAACTGTACTGAAAGTAGAGAAAGGTATCAGAAGTACAGGTCTTTTTATACATGGAGAGAAAAACATACAGGAAAAGTTTTAAATTAGTGGTTTAAGGGGTGAAGGCTGTTACAACTAATTTCTTTGGTAAATCTTCTCCTACTTAATTTTAATGTCAACTCTGAGAAGCTCATGTTTCAG